AATCATGAGCTTTCTCCACATGGCCTTTTGACGATATCAATTGGTTAGAGTCGGTGCTCATTTTTGAACTATGACGTCACCAACAATTTTTTTAAATAGGAAGATAATTATTTATTTTTTTTAATTACTGAATAAGTGTTGCCAAAATTTTTTCAGGAAATATATAAATTTTTAAGGGTCGCATCGTGTGTCTAAACTTTGAAATTTTGCTGTAAAATCCAAAAATTTCGAATAATTCTAGTTTCACCAGTACTTTGCATTTAAATAGAACTTTAAATTAAAAAGTATGGTAACAATTTGAAACTTTCTTTTTTCAATCATAGAAAAATTCACTAAAGTTTGAAGTACGTCAGTATTTTATTATTTAAATAATTTCCAAAAATTCTACTTTAAGATATTTGTTTAATCAATAAATCGTAACAGGATCGACCTTTTTTCAACGTTGCATCCACAAAACTAGAAGAAAAATATGTATTTGAGCAACTTATTATTGAAATATAAAATCTATAAATTAATGTATAAAACTATTTTTCTTTCATCAAAATTCATAAATCTACTTTTTACAGGTTATTTTATTATCAAATAAATGATTCCGAATTTGCTAACAACATAAGAAAACTTCAATTTTTGAAGAACTTTGTTATACTGTTATCTGCAACTTCGTACTGACTATTGAAAGATATTTTTACGTTAAGTTTATAGAAAAATTTGATTATCCAATAAATTTGATTAGTCTAAAAAAAAGAAATAAAACGATTCTAATTACTCTAGATCCCATGAAATTATTATATATTCCACACAACGCTCCACTAAATCATGAGCTTTCTCCACATGGACTTTTGACGATTTCAATTGGTTAGAGTCGGTGCTCATTTTTGAACAATGACGTCACCAACATTTTTTTTTAAATGGGAAGATAATTATTTTATTTTTTTTAATTACTGAATAAGTGTTGCCAAAATTTTTTCAGGAAATATATAAATTTTTAAGGGTCGCATCGTGTGTCTAAACTTTGAAATTTTGCTGTAAAATCCTAAAATTTCGAATAATTCTAGTTTCGCCAGTACTTTGTTCTTAAATAGAACTTTAAATTAAAAAATATGGTAACAATTTGAAACTTTCTTTTTTCATTCATAGAAAAATTCACTAAAGTTTGAAGTACGTCAGTATTTTATTATTTAAATAATTTCCAAAAATTGTACTTTAAGATATTTGTTTCATCAATAAATCATAACAGGATCGACCTTTTTTCAACGCTGCATCCACAAAACTAGAAGAAAAATATGTATTTGAGCAACTTATTACTCAAATATAAAATCTATAAATTAATATATAAAACTATTTTTCTTTCATCAAAATTCATAAATATACTTTTTACAGGTTATTTTATTACCAAATAAATGATTCCGCAATTGCTAGCAACATAAGAAAATTTCAATTTTTGAAGAACTTTGTGATACTGTTATCTGCAACTTCGTACTGACTATTGAAAGATATTTTTACGTTAAGTTTATAGAAAAATTTGATTATCCAATAAATTTGATTAGTCTAAAAAAAAAGAAATAAAACGATTCTAATTACTCTAGATCCCATGAAATTATTATATATTCGACACAACGCTCCACTAAATCATGAGCTTTCTCCACATGGACTTTTGAGGATTTCAATTGGTTAGAGTCGGTGCTCATTTTTGAACTATGACGTCACCAACAATTTTTTTTAATGGGAAGATAATTAATTTTTTTTAATTACTGAATAAGTGTTGCCAAAATTTCTTCAGGAAATATATAAATTTTTAAGGGTCGCATTGTGTGTCTAAACTTTGAAATTTTGCTGTAAAATCCAAAAATTTCGAATAATTCTAGTTTCACCAGTACTTTGCATTTAAATAGAACTTTAAATTAAAAAGTATGGTAACAATTTGAAACTTTCTTTTTTCATTCATAGAAAAATTCACTAAAGTTTGAAGTACGTCAGTATTTTATTATTTAAATAATTTCCAAAAATTGTACTTTAAGATATTTGTTTAATCAATAAATCGTAACAGGATCGACCTTTTTTCAACGTTGCATCCACAAAACTAGAAGAAAAATATGTATTTGAGCAACTTATTATTGAAATATAAAATCTATAAATTAATGTATAAAACTATTTTTCTTTGATCAAAATTCATAAATCTACTTTTTGCAGGTTATTTTATTATCAAATAAATGATTCCGAATTTGCTAACAACATAAGAAAACTTCAATTTTTGAAGAACTTTGTTATACTGTTATCTGCAACTTCGTACTGACTATTGAAAGATATTTTTACGTTAAGTTTATAGAAAAATTTGATTATCCAATAAATTTGATTAGTCAAAAAAAAAAGAAATAAAACGATTCTAATTACTCTAGATCCTATGAAATTATTATATATTCGACACAACGCTCCACTAAATCATGAGCTTTCTCCACATGGACTTTTGACGATTTCAATTGGTTAGAGTCAGTCGGTGCTCATTTTTGAACTATGACGTCACCAACAATTTTTTTAAATGGGAAGATAATTATTTTTTTTTAATTACTGAATAAGTGTTGTCAAAATTTCTTCAGAAAATATATAAATTTCTAAGGGTCGCAATGTGTGTCTAAACTTTGAAATTTTGCTGTAAAATCCAAAAATTTCGAATAATTCTAGTTTCACCAATACTTTGCATTTAAATAGAACTTTAAATTAAAAAGTATGGTAACAATTTGAAACTTTCTTTTTTCATTCATAGAAAAATTCACTAAAGTTTGAAGTACGTCAGTATTTTATTATTTAAATAATTTCCAAAAATTGTACTTTAAGATATTTGTTTAATCAATAAATCGTAACAGGATCGACCTTTTTTAACGTTGCATCCACAAAACTAGAAGAAAAATATGTATTTGAGCAACTTATTATTGAAATATAAAATCTATAAATTAATGTATAAAACTATTTTTCTTTCATCAAAATTCATAAATATACTTTTTACAGGTTATTTTATTATCAAATAAATGATTCCGAAGTAGCTAACAACATAAAAAAAATTCAGTTTTTGAAGAACTTCGTTATACTGTTATCTGCAACTTCGTACTGACTATTGAAAGATATCTTTACGTTGAGTTTATGGAAAAATTTGATTATCCAATGAATTTGACAAGTCTAAAAAAAAGAAATAAAACGATTCTAATTACTCTAGATCTCATGAAATTATTATATATTCCACACAACGCTCCACTAAATCATGAGCTTTCTCCACATGGCCTTTTGACGATATCAATTGGTTAGAGTTGGTGCTCATTTTTGAACTATGACGTCACCAACAATTGTTTTAAATGGGAAGATAATTAATTCTTTTTAATCACTGAATAAGTGTTGCCAAAATTTCTTCAGGAAATATATAAATTTTTAAGGGTCGAATTGTGTGTCTAAACTTTGAAATTTTACTGTAAAATCCTAAAATTTCGAATAATTCTAGTTTCGCCAGTACTTTGCTCTTAAATAGAACTTTAAATTAAAAGTATGGTAACAATTTGAAACTTTCTTTTTTCATTCATAGAAAAATTCACTAAAGTTTGAAGTACGTCAGTATTTTATTATTTAAATAATTTTCAAAAATTGTACTTTAAGGTATTTGTTTCATCAATAAATCGTAACAGGATCGACCTTTTTTCAACGTTGCATCCACAAAACTAGAAGAAAATATGTATTTGAGCAACTTATTACTGAAATATAAAATCTATAAATTAATATATAAAACTATTTTTCTTTCATAAAAATTCATAAATGTACTTTTTACAGGTTATTTTATCATCAAAAAAATGAATCCAAAGTTGCTATCAACATAAAAAAACTTCAATTTTTGAAGAACTTTGTTATACTGTTATCTGCAACTTCGTACTGACTATTGAAAGATATTTTTACGTTAAGTTTATGGAAAAACTTGATTATCCAATGAATTTGATTAGTCTAAAAAAGAAATAAAACGATTCTAATTACTCTAGATCTCATGAAATTATTATATATTCCACACAACGCTCCACTAAATCATGAGCTTTCTCCACATGGCCTTTTGACGATATCAATTGGTTAGAGTCGGTGCTCATTTTTGAACTATGACGTCATCGGCCATTTTTTAAAGGTGCTTGACTTTTTTACGGTATTGAATAATGATTTCTAAAATTTCTTTAGTAGAAAAGTAATTCGCTTTTCGTCATACACAAATTGCGTTTATCTGTTAGCAGTTAAAATGTTTTTGATTTTTTACAGAATTTTCAGGATCTTTAAAGTGTAAAAATGGATCTACTGAAGACGTGTTCGGAAGGGCTTTTGAAAACATAAACCCTTTTATCATGTTACATACATTAAAAAAATGCACGCTACAAATGTAAACATTTGAAATAGAGATAAATATAAGTAAACGAAAAAACTTATTCTGATTAATACCAGTTTTCCTAGTTACATACTTTTCACTGCATTGTTTTAGATTGTATTAGATTATAGGTTGTGTTTAAAAAAAAAAATAAAAAAAAATCAGCATGCATTCAAAATATATATTATATATGTTACACCGCGCTCGTTATTTCTACAATTTACAAACGAAAATAAAAAAAATTGTTAGCACTGACATTTTAAACAAATATGAAAAAATCACGAACTTTTAAACAAATGTAGTAAAATGTAGTATAAATAATTATGTCTTAACAATTACAGAAACGCATAAAAGTAACCAATAATATTGTGTGTGACATTTTGACATTTTTCCGACTTTTTATTCTTAAATTTAATTTCATCAAATTTGTTAACCCCTCAACCCTTCCCATGCAAATTTCCATCAGTCGCCGCGTCTGACGTTAATTAAGATGAAATCGCGCTTTTAATTCTCAGCTTCCCGCAACTAGGTCAGGGACATTCCGAATGTTTAAAACTAATTAACACCTCCTCGATACACACAACAACAGCAACACCAACAACAAAAAGCTCTTTCTTACCGGATATTCGTCATATTTGACGCCTAGCTGATAATCCGGATAATCGTCGCTCCTTTCTGATGCTGCACTGCGTCTGTCAATCAGAAACCCATCAGTTTTCGTTTCGAATAGAACGGCCACAAGAAAAGATTCCAAAACTACCATCAATATTCGATTCATATCGGCGGTTGGACTCTTTTATTATCAAATTACTATCACCGACGCTTTAAAACATTATTTTCCGTGTTGTCGGAGTTCCGCAACTTTTTCTCAAAGTGAGCTTATGCGAAGAGAGCGGACTTCCGGTTGAGCGGAAAGCTTTTAAAATGTTTACGGTGCGATAACGTGATTTTCGTAACGACGAGAGATCAGAATTTTTGTGTTGGAGTGGCGCGTGTGAAGAAATGTGCGGAGTGACGATGTTAAGAGAGTTGCGTTCTTGTTTAAGGTGGTAATACGATTGTATACTGTACGGAGTTGAGAGCCACCATTGCTTTTAAACCCCCTCTATCTAATACGCAATCGCATTCCGGACAAATAATGTTGTTTTGTGTCGTTTATTTTATGGATTTCCGAATATTATGTTTTTAACGTCTTAAGTGTTGATGGTTTAGGGGGATTTTAGCGGAATTATTTAAGACACATGGGGGAGAGATTGCCGAATTAGAATTCCAGAAACGGAGCCGAAAAATTACATCAATGGTTACTTCAACGTATTTGTATTTTTTATTTTTCGCGTAGTCGGAAATTTTATTAAGTTTAACAACCGAAAATTAATTTCAAAATTTTTGTTACAAATTTTAGCAACGCAAAACTTTCATGGTTAAAAATTAATTTTATCGACAAACTTGAAAAAAAAAAAATTGGAAACATTCAGTTTTTAAAGTAAATTTAATTTTGTACAGGTATTCTCCAGGTTATAATTTTGTACTTTGATTCTAAAACGATAACATGAAAGTTCAATTTAAGCTCTGACTCAAGTTTTAAACAGTCCTGGGAAAACCACCTGCTTCAACCCCTTCATTGTCTTGGAAGGACGCCGAATTTTAGGAACATAACGCAAAAAACTTGGAGAAATTCTTAATTTAAAGTACATACTTATAATTAATTCAATTTCAACACAAACTGAATGAAAGTAGCTTTTAAAGTATTTCATTCAGTGAGACTTCAACCTGAAATATACGGGCGTCCCAAAAGTTGGGTCGAGGAAATCGTTAGCTGGGACATTTTATTTTTATGCAGAACGATTTTCTTTTAAATTTTATTAAGTGAAACATCCTGTTCATTGGTTTAAAAACTTATACTAATTCAGCACCTCTTTATCCCACGTATGTTTTCCATATTTTCTTTATTTTTCGTAATAATGATAATCGCATACATTTTTTTAAATATTTATTTCCATTTCAAAGAACAAGCAAAATTTTCATCTTCAATAATTTTTCAAAATAAAAACAGATTGACAATTTCACATATCTCTTCGGTAATTTTACGTGGACATAACAAAAATTTATAAATTTTTGATTCGTCAAAAATTTTTCATTTATCAAAATTTATATATGTACAAAATAAATTCCATGTTAAAAAAATATATTGAGACAAAATAAAATTCAGATTCAGAAAAACAAAAAATTACAAACTTTTGGTTCGTCAAAATTTTTCATTATTCAAAAATTTAATATCTATAAAATAAATTTCGTATTAAAAAAGTATACTCAAACAAAATAAAATTCAGGTTCAGGACGGAAACACAATAATTGAAACAACATTTTGCAGATCAGTCGCTACAGTAACTTTTTTTATCCAGAGCGATTCTCTTTTATATTTATTAAGTGAAACACCCTGTATATCAGTTTCAAAACTTATATTAATTAAGTCCCTCTTTATTTCACGTACTTTCTAGGTATTTTCTTTATTTTTCATAATAATGACAATCGTAGACATTTTTTACTTCCCGAGCGTAAGCAAAGGAAGTATTGTAATCGAGTCCGTCGGCCGACTCTCTACTTTTACGTTTTCTCGATCTTTCATGACCCCTAGAAGACGAAGAAATAGGTCTCCCATTTCCGTCTGTCTGTCCGTCCGTCTGTCCGTCCGTCTGTCCGTCCGTCTGTCCGTCCGTCTGTCCGTCCGTCTGTCCGTCCGTCTGTCCGTCCGTCTGTCCGTCCGTCTGTCCGTCCGTCTGTCCGTCTGTTGTCCCGGATTTTATTAGACAGATAATCTCCGAAAGTACTCGACCGATTGTTGTGAAATTTTGTACTTATATTAAGAATATCATGTAGATGGTAAAACGCTAACCAAAATTTGTCTAATCATCCCCACCACTAATGCGATGACGTCACTTCAAAATTGTACATAGTAAATGGGTTTTCAATTGTATAAAATAACATAGTCCTATACATGTAGTTTACAACTCTGAATCGACTTTTCACCCGAAACGTCCAGATTTTTGGAAAAAAAATCAAAATTATAAAACAACATTTTGAAATTTAATTTTTAATCTGCTAACCAGAATGCTTTGAAATGTTGCAGATGTTTTAAGGCTATAAAGAGCATCGTAAATCTTTAGTCAAAAAATATTTGCTTATCCCCTCCAAAAACTTGATGACGTCAGCTCAAAAGTTTGTGGAATAAATCATATCTAAAATGTACAAAATATGATGAGTCTGTACTTGTGATCTATCACTCCATTCATATTTTTTGGATTTGCATATACAGGGTGACTCAAAAAAATTAATGAATGCGTAAATATATTTTATTGATTTAATCAGGAACTACAAAACCGAATGCTCTGAAATCTTGCAGATGTTTTAAGGTCATAAAGAGCATAATAAATGTGTAGTCAAAAAATATTTGCTTATCCTCTCCAAAAACTTGATGACGTCAGCTCAAAAGTTTGTGGAATAAATCATATCTAAAATGTACAAAATATGATGAGTCTGTACTTGTGATCTATCACTCCATTCATATTTTTTGGATTTGCATATACAGGGTGACTCAAAAAAATTAATGAATGCGTAAATATATTTTATTGATTTAATCAGGAACTACAAAACCGAATGCTCTGAAATCTTACAGATATTTTAAGGTCATAAAGAGCATAATAAATGTTTAGTCAAAATATATTTGCTTATCCCCTCCAAAAACTTGATCTCGAAAGTTTGCCGAATAAATCATATCTAAAATGTACAAAATATGATGAGCCTGTACTTGTCATTTATCACTCCATTCATATTTTTTGGATTTGCATATACAGAGTGACTCAAAAAAATTAATGAATGCGTAAATATATTTTATTGATTTAATCAGGAACTACAAAACGGAATGCTCTGACATCTTGCAGATGTTTTAAGGTTATAAAGAGCATAATAAATGTTTAGTGTAAATATATTTGCTTATCCCCTCCAAAAACTTGATGACGTCAACTCAAAAGTTTGCCGAATAAATCGTATCTAAAATGTACAAAAAATGATGAGTCTGTACTTGTGATCTATCACTCCATTCACATTTTTTGGATCTAAATGTACAGGGTGACTCAAAAAAATTAATGAATGCGTAAATTTATTTTATTGATTTACTCAGGAACTACAAAACCGAATTCTTTGAAATCCACTGCGAAAAAAAAACATAATAGGCATACAGTCGTCACGTTTTCGACAGCGAGGGAAGTACTGTCTAAACTCTTTAGACCAATTTTTTTAATATTTATTTACATTTCAAAAATCGACAAGCAAAATTTTCATTTTCAATAATTCTTCAAAATAAAAATAGATTGACCATTTCACATATCTCTTCAGTAATTTTACGTAAAAATAAAAATTTATAAATTTTTGATTCGTCAAAATTTTTCATTTATAAAAATTTAAAGATGTACAAAATAAATTCCGTATTAAGAAAATATAGTGGAACAAAATAACATTCAGATTCAGCAACAACAAAAATTATAAACTTTTGATTCGTCAAAATTTTACATTTATCAAAATTTAAAGATGTACAGAATAAATTCCGTATTAAGAAAATATAGTGGAACAAAATAAAATTCAGATTCAGTAACAACCAAAATTATAAACTTTCGAATCGTCAAAATTTTTCATTATTCAAAAATTGAATATCTACAAAATGAATTTCGTATTAAAAAGTATAGTCAAACAAAATAAAATTCAGATTCAGGATGGAAACACAATAATGGAAACAACATTTTGCAGATCAGTCGCTACAGTACCTTTTTTATACAGAACGATTCTCTTTTGATTTTTATTAAGTGAATACACTCTGTATATCAGTTTCAAATCTAATATTCAATAAATCCTTGTTTATCTCACGTGCTTTCTCGGTATTTTCTTTATTTTTCATAATAATGACAATCATAGACATTTTTTTAAATATTTATTTCCATTTCAAAAATCGACAGCAAAATTTTCATCTTCAATAGTTCTTCAAAATAAAAATAGATTGACAATTTCACATATCTCTTCAGTAATTTTACGTAAAAATAAAAATTTATAAATTTTTGATTCGTCAAAATTTTTCATTTATAAAAATTTAAAGATGTACAAAATAAATTCCGTATTAAGAAAATATAGTGGAACAAAATAACATTCAGATTCAGCAACAACAAAAATTATAAACTTTTGATTCGTCAAAATTTTACATTTATCAAAATTTAAAGATGTACAGAATAAATTCCGTATTAAGAAAATATAGTGGAACAAAATAAAATTCAGATTCAGTAACAACCAAAATTATAAACTTTCGAATCGTCAAAATTTTTCATTATTCAAAAATTGAATATCTACAAAATGAATTTCGTATTAAAAAGTATAGTCAAACAAAATAAAATTCAGATTCAGGATGGAAACACAATAATGGAAACAACATTTTGCAGATCAGTCGCTACAGTACCTTTTTTATACAGAACGATTCTCTTTTGATTTTTATTAAGTGAATACACTCTGTATATCAGTTTCAAATCTAATATTCAATAAATCCTTGTTTATCTCACGTGCTTTCTCGGTATTTTCTTTATTTTTCATAATAATGACAATCATAGACATTTTTTTAAATATTTATTTCCATTTCAAAAATCGACAGCAAAATTTTCATCTTCAATAGTTCTTCAAAATAAAAATAGATTGACAATTTCACATATCTCTTCAGTAATTTTACGTAAAAACAAAAATTTATAAATTTTTGATTCGTCAAAATTTTTCATTTATCAAAATTTAAAGATGTATAAAATAAATTCCGTATTAAGGAAATATAGTGGAACAAAATAAAATTCAGATTTAACAACAACAAAAATTATAAAATTTTGATTCGTCAAAATTTTTCATTATTCAAAAATTTAATATCTACAAAATAAATTTCGTATTAAAAAAGTATAGTTAAACAAAATAAAATTCAGATTCAGAGTGGAAACACAATAACGGAAACAACATTTTACAGATCAGTCGCTACAGTACCTTTTTTATACAGAACGATTCTCTTTTG